GCTGTAGGATCTTGAATAATAAGTAGATGAGTATGAAAGACTGAATGGCCTTCTCTTATGTATTAAATGTTTTTTTGTGTTTAATTTGAATATTATTCTGTAAATCAGCCTCACTTTTCCGACAAACATCCCTCTCACGTCTGCTACAGCTATTAATAAGAATGTCCTGGAAGCTACATTCTGTTACCAAGTTGCCTAAATATTGCATGTGCAACTGCATCAACGTGGTAAAGAAAAACAGATACAGAGAGTGCTGAGTAGGCCGTGCTGAGCTTTTTATATCTGGAAACGTGCAAGCACGGGTACCTAAATCTCTAAATATAAACTCCAAAACAATTTTATTCACAAAGATCACAGATTTTAAAAGACTGCATATAAATAAATGCTTGCAGGTCTACAGCAAGGATATAAAATTTAAGAGGGGTACTTCTGTGTAGGTAAGGTAAATGAAGTGATTAAAGCAATTTCATTATTTAGACAAAGTTAACATGTCATGCCATTTAGACAAAGACATGCTAAAAGAATATCTATAGAATAAAGCAAAAATAAACTGTTTATTCAAACCTCTTTCAAACTTTGTAGTGCAATTTAACTGCAATACAGCTTTAAAGTAATCCCAATCTCCTTATTACTGGATATCCTGGCTTTTTTTCCCCTCTTTAACCACAGTCATTTGGTGTGGGTTATTACATTTCATTCAGCCCCCTCATTAAAGTTAAATACAAAGAAAGAGCCACTGTTGCTTGTTATTCTCTTAAAGAGCTGTATTTAATAAAACACAACGAACTTAGGGGGAAAGGCTTAATGGTAATCAAAGTTTTCAGTACCACATATAAAACACACAGCTAATGAGTAACATCATAATAGTGCTGTTGTGCGTTATTCTCCTGGCGATAATATTGTAGATTATAAAGTAAGCGGTGTAGGAGGAATGCAGAAATGTGCAGCACTTTAATGAAGACATCAATGAATCAGAACAGTAAAGGATTTACTGTCATTATATTATATAAGAATTTCAGCGTCTATAATGTATTTTTCTCCATATTATACAATTGATCATTTGAAGTGATATTTCTTTAATCTGTTACAATGTACCAATGTCTGTAATAACAGATGTACATTCAATAAATTGGATCTTAGCAGTATTGATACGTATGTACAGCAGGAATATGGATGTGTGATTGCAGCTTACTGTCTCTGCTGTTTATTTATGTGAAGATTTCTAGAGGAAGGCTTTCGTGGCCCCGTGTCTTGAGAGGCAGTAAAATGAAAATCATGAGCAACATGGCAAAGCTCTGTTTTCTCTGCATTGTATCTGTCATCCAGAGAGGGGAATGTGAAATGAGGCTAGTAATTCAGCTGAGCTATCTACTGAAGGTCAAGAACAGTGAACCACAGCTTGGGCAGTAGAAGGGGGGGCAGGATTCAGTCTTCTGAGATTAAATTACACTCTTTAACCTCTTCAAAATTACAGGACTTTATCAAAGTTGAATAAAAATAAAATATGCAGTGTAAAGGACCTCACAGTTAGGTATTTTGGTAATCTGCTTAAGTTCTGCACCTTTAGAACTGTTTAATCCATGTTTGGATGAGCATACATATCAGAACGCATCTACACCAGTGGCATTTTCTTCAGAGCACAAGTGTACAGCTGTTTGGTGTATTCTAAAATGTATTTTCTAACAATTCTAAAATTGTGAGGTCACAGCCCTCTTCTCTCGTGAGCTATTTATATTCAGAGCAGTCTTTTAATACTTCTGACAACTGTTGGAACCAGAAAGAGAACATTTCAACATGACGCTCTGGCAGCAGGTTTCTTTAAGGAGGATGGAAAAGGGAAGTAAAGGCAGTGAATGATGCACAACAAAGAAACCTCCACACCCTTACCCTTGAGTCACTTCAGAACACGCACTGGAAAAAATGCTTTTTTTCACAACATTTTTAACTTTTGTTAAAAGTAGCTTGTGCATTTGTCCAATGGGTGTCACCTTACCTGTGTTGCTGAGCAGCATGTCTAAACCCTCCCCCAGCATGGGGTCAATAGGAGAGTCTCTCCCAATATCCCAGTCCACATCCCCAGCTTCACTTTCGCCATGGCCACTGTCCTTAGTGCTCAGCCAGTCGGTGTCCTGCGTGCCGGACCTTCAACACAGCAGAGGAAGGAGAGGGATTTAACCCCGAATACACCCTGGGGTGAAGACTTTTCTGTCTCGCCTTGTAAACTCTCCACCTACACCCCAAGGTCTTTCAACCCTTTCAAGATACAGTAGTTGTGGCACATTGTTTGGTGCTTCAGAGGAAGATGAAGAGCCTTTACTGGCATCCTAAAAGAAAGAGGGGAAGGGGGGGTGGATGGGGCAGGTTCAGCAGCCCTTTAATGAGGCCTGAATCACAAAGTTGAAGGAGACAATTCACAAATTATTACAAGCCATTTCAGGTCTAGCACAGGTCACTATAGGAATGACTCAGAAGGTGTCTCCACAGTTCCCGAAGGGTATAAGCATGTGTCACAGGACCAAAATAATAATTCACTAGTGTTTAACACATGCGTCAGAACCTAAGGATAGGATGGTGGCAGATGGCAGGTAAATAATAAGGTAAAAATTAATTAACCCGAGATCTGCCCTGAGGAAAAGATATGGTGAAACAGCCGAGGCGATCAGTACAGGTCGTGACTGAACCTCCGTTGCACTATGAGCAATAAACTTTCCAGAGTTAAAAAAATCGTGTCTTGAGTTAAACATTTCAGAGAAATGGGACGAGTTTTGGTATTTTTGGAAGTAAGTACACAGTAGTTCCAGACAGGAGAGTTTAGTAAGATTGTTTTTAAGTGCAGGAATGGGTCCTTTGTGGATGGTGACTCATGTTTAAAAGTTATGCACTTGATCCATTCTAGTAGTAAACCTTTTAATCAGAGCAACAAAAAAACACGTTGGATATGAGCTGGAATTACAGACATCAAAATGGTCCCTTTTCTTAGATTGATCTGTTCTGAATTATAGTGTTTCTAGTCCTACACGTTTAGCATGCCATTTGAGTTAAATAGGTAAGATATTTACCTTAAGTGACATTCTTATCCTTCTAAAGACCAGGAAATTGGTTTGAATTTATCATTTCCATCATATACTGTATCAGCTGTGTTTTGTTTTTTTTTTGCACTCAGAGGACAGCTTGACTAAATCAAACGTATACCATTTCAATGATTAGAATAATGTAGACTTTTACACTAACATCGCCACACGTTTTCAGTTCAGAGAGAAATAGCTTTTAAAATTGTGATAATAAAATAATTAAAACTGAAGTCAAAATAGGGTGACTGTGCTTTAGGGGCTTGGCCTTGATCCCGTTTTGACCTCACCATTATCCCTGTTTGCTTAAAGGCCAGTCTTGAAAGGTGAACATACTTTCAAGAATGTACTAAAATACATTACTTACAATAATCACATAAATATAGCAATCACCTCCACGGTGGTCACTTTTAAAGACTCTGTGCAGACAAAAGACTCAGTTGCTGAACCCTTTGAGGAAGGATACATACAGCCATCCTACCGAAGATATCTAGATCCCTGATTAAAATTCAGTTTCATTAGTCTTGAAACAAAGGGAAATAACAGTGTAGCCTGACTCCAGTGCTCACCTGCCAGCTCTGTGAGAATACTTATTCCCCCGGAAGTTTGGTCTTGGCTGTAACTGCCCTTGATGCAGCAAGGAGAGCAGCTGGGAGATTTGCTGTAAGACAGGAAACCACACAGTGAAGGGGAAAACATTTCTACATGTAGTCCATTCTTCCATATGCTTCCTTCCAGGATGACCACTACAAACACAGCTATTTTGGACTGAAATGCCCATTCAGCCTCTCCAGCCATCTCCAGCATTCCTCTGAGAGTACTAAAACCACAGTTTAAAAATGAGGATATGAGATCGTATCAAATAATTAGTTACTGTAAATAGTGTATACAGCACATTTCAAAAAGAAAATACACTCATGTTTTTTTCTAAAAAACAAAGGTGAGATGTTAAATCTATATAAGCCATTTATAGACTATTTTCACTATCATTTAAGAAACAAAAGTGTCAATACAGTATATGGAAAAATTGTTGAGGGCCTGTACATGCACAGCATAGATAGTTTTTCCATGAAGGCAAATTTGAGCTTACTTTGCCATTTTTTCATAATAGCTGGGGTTGATTACTAAGTCTCTTGGAAAGCTGTAACGCAATACTGAGTAAACGACTTGGTATAATTTCTCAGATGTTTGGCAGGGCTTAGATTACTCTGTGCTTTATGAGTATCTGAATCCTTTTACAATTTTATCTGTCATCTGTCCCTTGAGGCAGAGTTTTAAAACAATACTTTGAAAAAGGCCTAACAGATATGAAAGGCGTAACGCTACATGAGCTCAGAAAAGCTCATCTATAAGAGCCTGCAAGCAGCAGTTTAAAGATCTGTGGAGGACATGAATCACAATCAGATTAAAAAAACACAGTTCTCAAAATCTAGAGTTAGCTTTTTCTACAGGGTTAAACAGCACCAGTTAACTGAAAGCTAAAAATAAAAAAATGGCAAATCTCTCCTTGTCTCTCACATTATTATCTAAACAATTTTTCCGTACATGTATGTATGGAACTAACCGGACAAATAGGAAATTGTAAAGGCTTGTGGCACTAACCTGTACCTCTGGCGAAGCTGAGGAGAGCTCAATGGGACTATACTCCGCAAAGGCGGCCATGGACATCCGAACAAGATTCCTCAGAATCTGCTGGTGATCTTCCTTATCTTCCTTCATCTTACAATCCACATTCCTCTGCCTTCTCAGTGTCCTAAATGGTGGTGAGGAGGGAGCCGAATCTGAGGTTCCTTCGGAGCTTTGCTGAATTTCGGGACTGCCCTGTCTCCTCAGGGTTCCCAGTCGAGAGGAAGGTGTGGGGGATGCAGGGGCCTCTGCTTGGACCTCTGAGTTCTTGGTTCTACGAAGGGTTCTGTAAGGAGTTGCTGGAGTCCTGGGAAGAGACCCGTCAATTTCTATGTTACTGGGTTTACGGAGGGTCCTGGGAGGATGCAGAGGTAATGTTCCGTTGTTGTCTGGGAAAGTCTGGTTCCTTAAAGTTCTGCTAAGAGATGGAGAAAGGTTGAACTGACAAGGAGGAAAGAATGCTTGGGTTTCAGGTATTTCTTCTTCCTTAGGAATGGAGGTCTTTTGTGGGTCTTCTTCTAAGGCTTCTTCTTTTCTTCCTCTCAACACAGGAATTAACTGGATGTCAGTTTTCTGGATCTGCTTTTGTGGGCGCCTGGGGTGCCTGGTGTAGGTGCTCTCGGCTTGTCTGCAGTTGTAAGCGCGGTTGTCTCGTTTTTCCGTTCTGCAAAAGGTCGTCACCAGTGCTACCACCACCAGGAGCAACAGGAACGTAGCCCCAAGGCAGATAGCCAGCATCATGGTGGAGCTAAGCTGCCCTCTTTGGCCAGGGGAAGAATTCTTTTGGTGATCCAGCAGATTAATAAATGTGATTTCCAAATTAGCTTCAGTGACAAGTGGGGGAGAGCCCAAGTCTGAGACAGCTATATCTATCTCAAACACCTTTCCAATCAATTCTGTAGCATTGCTGGAATTTACATACATCTCCCCAGTTAACTGGTCCAGTAAAAAGAGGCCATCAGTGTTTCCTTTAATTATTTTATAATGAAGCATTCCGTTTAGGCCTGAATCCATATCATGTGCTCTGATTTTGGTGGCTAGGTAACCAAATGGCTTCAGACCTGCTGTAGAATTGTTGCTTGAAGGGTATTCAAAGAGGTAGGTACTTGATCTGTCTCCCTGAATGTCTCCCAGTTCAATAAATATCTCCCCCTTCTCAGTGTTCACAGGGATGGTGATTGATGCCCTGCCCCTCTTTGACACAGGCTCTTCAATAATGGGAAAGTTGTCATTGATATCCTTTATATTTATCAGGACAGTAGCACTGCTGGTCAGAGAGGGCTGTCCTTGATCTGCAGCCTCCACAATAAGTGTAAAGCTCTTGAATAGCTCAAAATCAAAAGACTGCCGGGCATGAATGTAACCAGTAGTGGGATGTATGATAAATTTGTCAGAATCCTTAGATTCCTTGATGGAGTAAGAAATCTTCCCATTGAGGTCAAGGTCAACATCATGAGCATCCACCGAAAGGATTAGGTAATCGGGTTCATTGTTCTCCTCGAAAGAGGCCTCATAAAGTACTTTTGAGAAAACAGGGGGATTGTCATTTTCATCTAAGACATGGACAGTTAAGTGTTTCGTGACAGACAAAGGAGGTATTCCATGGTCTTTGGCTACCAAGGTCAGGTTATACTCCACCCTACTTTCCCTGTCCAAGACACTGTTGGTCACTATCATGTAATTGTCACGATGGACCTTCTTCAGTCGGAAGTGACCGAGCCCATGCTGGATGTGGCAATGGACCTCTCCATTACTCCCTGAATCTGCATCAGACACCATCACCAGTGCTAGGAAGGTTTCTTTAGCAGCACCTTCAGACACTGTAGCAAAAGCAGAATCCTGTGGTGCCCAGGTAAAATGTATGTTGGGTGCATTATCATTGACATCCAGTACTTTAATATGGAGCTTACAATGAGAAGGGATGGCATTGGGTCCCAAATCCCTCGCCTGAATATCAATCTCATAAGTGTGCTTTTTCTCATAGTCCAATTCCCCAGTGAGGTTCACCGTCCCAGTCTTTGGATCAATACTGAAAAGGTTTTGCACCTCTAAAGGGGCATGTTTGCTAAAAGAATATTCAATTTCTCCATTGGCCCCTTGGTCAGGGTCAGTGGCCTTAAGATTAATTACTGTAGTGCCCCGGACTGTATCTTCACTGAGGTCAATGGCGAGCAAGCTTTCTTCAAAGACAGGGCTGTTGTCATTAGAGTCCAAGACGTTGATCTTCACCAGCGTGCTGCCTGATCTGGGGGGATTGCCTTTATCCCAGGCCACCAGGGTTAACTCAAAGGATGACTGAACCTCCCTGTCCAGTTCCTTGATGACCACCAACTCTGCATGCTTGGTGCCGTCTGAGTGAGTTATAACATCCAGTGCGAAGTGCTGGTTGGGGGAGAGAGAATAGGTCTGGAGACCATTTGGTCCTGCATCTGGATCCAGTGCTCTGTCCAGTGGTATCCTCATGCGCAGCATTGCAGTTTCTGATATCTCAATTTCCTGCTCGGCGCTTGGGAAGGTGGGGCTGTGGTCATTGATGTCCAGGACCTCCACATTCACCTGGAGGAAGCCTATGGCACCTCCAGTATTGAAGAGCACATTAAAAGCAATCAGACAGAGACCAGTATCCCTGCAAAGGGTCTCCCGGTCTAGCTGACCCTTAGTCAAAACCATTCCATCTTGTAATCCAACAACAAATGGTAAGGGTAGAGCCTGCTTCACAATTTGAAAGTTGTCCAGCACTCCAGTTTCTCCCCTCACTTTCAACTCATCAGCTAATGTTCCAATCATGGTCCCACTTGGCTCTTCTTCCAAAACCTTATATTGAATTGTCAGAGCAATAGTGTCTGAAGAGGAAACAGTGATCACCAACCAAAGAGCCAGAACAGGCAGCTGAGCAGCACATAAAATCATGGTTGGATCTTGTATCACGTTGGATTTCGTAGAATGTCTCATTTATAAAATAAATAAATAGCCAAACAGCTTGAATATAAAATCTGAAAACAGCACTACAATAAACAAAGTCAACAGTATATTTGGAAGGTACACAAATAAATTATTTATATATAACAACAATAAATGTCACCAATATATATATGGCTTATTTAAAAAGAAAACATTTCAATTCACCTCACAAATAACACCATTTTTAAATAAATTTGATGACCAAAAGAAAAAAGCAAGCTTAAAATGAAAGTTTAACCAACAAAATGTAAAGCTAAAAATGTAATATTTTAATACCCTGCATATAAAAGTATAAAACCTCTAAATATATCTATTCTAAAAGCCCCAATTGCACATTAAAGGAGAGTCATTATAGCAGTAGAAGTGGAGAACTAGAGTTATTTTATGCACTCACACAGCTGCCCATCTCTGATTCATGCTCCCCGGCTTCTGAAATTTGGAAACAAAGTTGGATCAAAGTGGGCAAGTTTGCTTGTGACACACAGAGAGCACAGCCCAATCGGATTGAAAGGCAGAAACTGAATGCAATGCAGACAGACTCCACCTTTCCAAGGAGAACAGCCCCTCAGGAAACTGGGCAGGAGTTAAAACAACATCCATGTGCTTTTAAAGAAACACTATCCTTCTTTTCTCACAGGCTGCTGCTACCCCTTTGTTTAACTTTTAAAATAACTCATCAAAGCTTCTTTTCAGGCTTAAGTTTCAGTACGTAAATTGAAATAGACTTCACTACTCCATGTGTCTCCCCAAGCTGAAAGCAGGCCAGACCAAGTGTTATAACAGAGTGACGTAAGGTCTAGTCACCCATTAAAATATCGAGATAACATTTAGCAAAGATAAACATGTAGGCAAATGAAAACTTCAGAAGTGAATCTGTCCAGACTGTTGAAATGTAGTTTGGTTTCTGTTTAAAACATTAAGTTGAAAAGATATACACCTCAGTGTACTTGCTTAGATCAAAGATGTTAAAATGGTATTTTTTATAAATCCTAAAAGTTTGGGAAATGTTTGAAGTTTAAATTATTCAGATCAATAGAGCACTTTTGTCCATTGGCAATACCAATGAGCTACCCATGTGATAACGCTTTTTGCAAGCAACTCAGAATAGGTCTAACTGAGCAATTAAGGACAATTTTCTTCCATTTTTCCATGACAGCTGTTTTAAAAGAGGTCAGTTAAAATAGGGGTTGGGTGAAAGTAGTGGGATGAAAGTGACATAGTGATACACACATATATGGTACAGAGACAAGCTGAATGGAGAAGGTTTTAAAAATATTATTGTAATTTTTTTTATTTATTTTTTTTACAAATAATCCCCATTTAATAGTTTATACCAGTAAAAACGAAGTACAAAAAATCAAGGAGAGGTGAAAAATAGCATGAGATTCTCTCAAGGTGAACATGGAAATTTGATCCAAAAGGTTAAGTCTAAAACATTTGATGGTGGGGGGCTAAGTCTTAACTTTGGCACTTCCTCTGTTATTTATTTTTCTTCTTGTGTGCAAGGCTGCTTTCCCAGTGAAACCATTAACACAAACAAACCCACCAGTGCACAGGCCAATAAAGCTCATTCCCAAGGAGAGAGTAATGGATAGTTTGATGGCCTCCAAGAGATTTTTGAGATAAGAGTGCTTTTCCCAAGACCCCCGTGATAAGCCAACTCAGAATAAAGATAAGGGTATTCAGCTGCCAGAACTTTACTCACTGCTTTTGTAAAGCTCTTTCAAAGGATTCCCCCCTCTGTGATGCCTGAAGCCAATTATATCAAAGAGAAAGTCAGAGACGTTAAAAGTTTAACTATAAATCTGTCACATCCTGTTAAATCTCAAATTCACATCTTCATTTGCAGCACACTGTATACAAATTTACTAATACCATGTAAATTGTCATTTTTAAGAGGTTTTGTTATATCTTTGACTTGGCTCTCATAGACCCCCCATCTTGCTGCCTAACGCTTGCAGAGTTAAAAAGTTAACAGTTCCTTGATCCAAGCAGCTTACTGCTAATATATATTTTGATAATTCAATGAACTATTACCCACGTACAAAAAGAAAGGTTCACACAAAATTATGTTTTTCAATAATCTTTTGAAAGAAAGATGAAAGTTCAATAAAACCTGTAGGGGAAAGAAAACTGGTGTTGTTGAAGAAGAGATCTAAGGATTTCTGGCAATGAACTTCAGATGAGACCCTTTCATGTTATTCCACTCTTAACAAAGAAATAAGCTTACTGATAACCTTAAGGAGATAAATAAGAAACATACTAAAAAAATCATGGCAGTTTTTGAGGTTGTGAAGCATAGAGATTTTATATACCTACAATTACTCCTCTTAGGCAGCACAAGATTTTGTTTCTCAAAACCTCCCTAAAAGAAAACCCATTTTCTAAATACTGTATACAATATTAATTGTATATTGTTGCTGTATCAGGTTTTATTGAAAGCATGACTTCAGAGTGCCCCATTATTAAAACTAAATAACTAAATCAGCAGTCTTCTAAAGCAGACAACCACTAACATATCCAAGGCAGAAATGACAGACCAGGTGTGCCAGATTTCCTTTTCTTATCAATGAACTTGAGAAAACCATGCCTGAAGTATTTTTCATCATTCTGTCCTGGTACAAACAATACTTGTCCTAGGATATTGTGAGAAATCCATCTAATTTCCTTACTCTACCGAGTATAGATATGTTGCATTCGGAAATTGGTAAACATCTGCTAAAAGTGTTGTTCTTCAAATTGAAAACAAGCTTGTGACAGAATTAATCACCAGAACTTGGAAAAGCATCTGTTCACAGTGGCCTTTTTAGCTTTGTTTTTTTTTTAGTTTTTTAGTAGTTACAGTACTGAAGTCAAAATTAAAACCATACATTTTAGCAGATACTGCAGACAGAGACACAAAGATAAGTAGAGGCAAACATAGCACCCACTGAGATGGTAATCAGCATTTTGTGGTGGCTCATGCTGTCTTCAGGCTTTAAGAGCTTCAGTGTGGTTTTTATCATATCAATCAGCACCATTTCTGATCCTCAGACCTGACATGAGTGGGCCAGCGCCTTAAAGACCCCAGTCTGTTCAGGTTGTGCGAAATAATTATTTTTTTCGTTGTTGTCTCTCTTTATGTCAACTCCATGAATGTAACTAAACACCATTGTGCTGTAAAACAATAGGATATGACACGCAAGAGAAGAAAAACAGGAAGTCTCCCGCTCACTCACACCACAAAACAGCAGACAGGAGTGACAACAGGATCTGGCTATTTTTGTTTAGCTTGTTTTTTAGATAGATGCACTATATAAAGAGATACATAAACATATGAAGACATTGGGTTATGTGCACAGCTTCCTGTTAGAGACTGTTTTCTGAGTTTTTGTTTAACTGTACAAGCTTAATGTCATTAAGTATTCTTAACCTGGTTCTCTCGTTGTTCCTTTTATTAGTTATCTACAAATAGAAAGAGACCGTTCCTCTAACTAGGATCACAATTAGAGCCATCTCTGAACCGTGTGACACTGTCTTTTTTTATATATTATTAATCCTCATGATTTTCAGTTACTTAAAAAAGTCTTTCTGGTAATTCAATTTTCTGTTAATGGTGTTGTAATAAGCAGTTTTCTGATGACAGATGGGCAGAAAGTTTTATTTTAATGTATGGTTGAAAAAAGTTTAACTGAATTGCTCATTGTCAATTTTTCCATGCAGAACAGTTAACCAAAATTCTGTGCCTTGGCAAACACATGATTATAAACAACAGAATGTAGACCAAGGATACTGTTACACAAACTAAAACCAAACCTAAAGACAGTAAGTGAATTGTGCCAGAGTGCATTTCATTTTTAGGGATTGGCTGTAAGAAAGGCATCGAATGTAGGAGGAAAGGAGGCAGCTCCTATATCTCTTCATCCAATTTGAAATGGTGAGCTAAGGAAGTGAGGAAGTGTACAGCTGTACCAGCCCTGCGAGGGACTGATGTGAGAATAAAAACCCATTTCCTCCAGCTGTGTAAAACACTTGGCACCAGCCCCTCTCCGCAAATCTTTCTGCCTCTTTTGTATGGCAACGAGTCGAGGAAGTGCTGACGAGACAAAGTCCTTATGCCCTTTGAAGGTGGAGATAATTCCTGCTTCCCTGAGTGAGCCTGCTCTGTCGTCACTACAGCAACAACAGCCTACAGTCACCTGTTCGGTCCATTAGACTGATAGCATCTTGCCCTTGGTTGCTGTTGACATTTCTGAGCAAGTTTGTCAATACCTCGCTAATGCAATGAGATACGGTTCTGAGAAAAAACAAACAGAGATAGAAAAACAAAAAAAAATCTCATCCCATGCAGATGCTCTTCAGTGTAACAAAATCCTGGATGATTCCTGAAATTTATGCTCAGTAACACTAGGCCTTTTGAAAAGCAGTTTTTTTTCTAAAGACAGTTAAAGGGGTAATTTTGTGGAAACTGACTCATCCTTCTAAATTATAGAGTGCCTTATCCAAACCATATTACAATAAATAGACATAGCTTTTTCCATATCAGTGTCCATTAAATTCACAGATTTTTTTGTTCTATCGGCTTATTACAGCAACTTTGAGAGTATCCATTTTTTATTCATTATATCACTTGCATCTGACAAGTTACAGTGTTTGGAATTTTGCATCCCCTTTTTTTCAAAGGACAGAAGCAATGAAGCAATATACAAACTGCTCAAATAAACATACACTATTTAAAACCATACTATTCTTATGTGAAACCTACTGCTAACTTTTTTACATTGCATTACGATTGGTTTGCTACAAGTGTGAGAAACACTTGTAATGGATCCCATTACAACCATGACTGCACAAAGTGTATGTTGTGGTCTTCTGTGGGGACATACAGATTCAAGAAATCCAGAGTCCAAACCTGGATCAAAGGATGACAGCCATAAGCCAGCCTGCCAGCTTTGTACCATACGTTGCATTTTAATTATTTTTCATGAAACACCACAACGAAGCCTCAAACAAAGCACAGAGTCAAGGAGACTTTAAGAAATAAAACATCTGGAGGGACGTGGTGGCAACTGCAGCCGCTGAGAGGGACTAAATGACTGTGTTTCATATAAAATCAAGGCTGGCAGAGGTTAAAAGAAAGCACCACTTCCCCAAGTCAGGGTCAC